GAAGGATATTGACAAGACAAACATTGCTAAGAGCTACGAAAGATGGAAAGTTGTGGAGAGTCATGATCTCCGGAACCGAAGACTAGTTAAACATTGGAAAAGAGTGAGTAAACTACCTAACAAGCTGGTGTAAAAATGGATGACAGAACAGACAGTGGGAAGGATATTGACAAGACAAACATTACTAAGAGCTACGAAAGATGGAAGTTGTGGAGAGTCATGATCTCCGGAACCGAAGACTAGTTAAACATTGGAAAAGAGTGAGTAAACTACCTAACAAGCTGGTGTAAAATGGATGACAGAACAGACAGTGGGAAGGATATTGACAAGACAAACATTGCTAAGAGCTACGAAAGATGGAAAGTTGTGGAGAGTCATGATCTCCGGAACCGAAGACTAGTTAAACATTGGAAAAGAGTGAGTAAACTACCTAACAAGCTGGTGTAAAAATGGATGACAGAACAGACAGTGGGAAGGATATTGACAAGACAAACATTACTAAGAGCTACGAAAGATGGGAAGTTGTGGAGAGTCATGATCTCCGGAACCGAAGACTAGTTAAACATTGGAAAAGAGTGAGTAAACTACCTAACAAGCTGGTGTAAAAATGGATGACAGAACAGACAGTGGGAAGGATATTGACAAGACAAACATTACTAAGAGCTACGAAAGATGGGAAGTTGTGGAGAGTCATGATCTCCGGAACCGAAGACTAGTTAAACATTGGAAAAGAGTGAGTAAACTACCTAACAAGCTGGTGTAAAAATGGATGGCGTAACAGACAGTGGGAAGGATATTGACAAGACAAACATTACTAAGAGCTACGAAAGATGGGAAGTTGTGGAGAGTCATGATCTCCGGAACCGAAGACTAGTTAAACATTGGAAAAGAGTGAGTAAACTACCTAACAAGCTGGTGTAAAAATGGATGGCGTAACAGAAAGCTAGAAAAGCTAGTAAAAAGAAAAACATTCTTAAGAGCTAGGAATGATAGAAAGTCGTGGAGAGTCATGATCTCCCATACTTAAAGCAAGAGGGACTTTGGAAAAGAGTGATTAATCTACCTAATAAGATTGTGTAAAAATGGATGGCAGAACAGGAAGTGGGAAGGATAGTAAAAAGATAAATATATTTCTATGAGCTACGACGGATAGGAAGTTGTAGAGAGCCATAATCGATTACCTCCTGAAAGAAAACGACAGGCAAAGAAGGAAGAAGTAGAAGGAAGCTTATTCTTTTGAAGCCAATCCCCGCAGGAAATCAAAGACTGAACCAACACCGAAGAGATATGCGGCTTTTGTGGAGCTTCAATTTCTACAACTTCAGTTGGCGAGGCTATCAACCCGATCCCATCCAGCTCACCATCAGCTTACGTAAGAATAAAATCAGAAGGCTTCAATCGCCTTCTACTCATTTCAAGTTCCTTTAATGTTTCAAATTTCATCATCGACGCCGCCGCCTCTGTGTCTATCAAGGTTTTCGCCTTACTCTCCTCTCCTATCAATGTACTCACCAGCTCCGTTCTTTTTTAGAAGAGTTCATACAGCCTTGACTTTCTCTTGTACTTTCCACTTCCACTTGTCTGCCTGGGTTATCTTTCTTGAGGTCAGGTGGTTTTCTTTCACCATCCTTCTCTATCCTCTTCGTTTTTTTTCCTTCACCCTTCTTTTTTTATCCTTCCATCTATCTTGTTTCTTTCGATCTAACCGTTAATTTTTTTTTTTTTTAACGCTCTTACTCCAAGATTCTATGTACTATTTTTATTTTCTGCTAACTTTTAGTCTTGTACGGACTGAAAGCTAGCAGATAACAACGCCGATATTCAAATGCTGATCACGTAAGCAGAGATTTGTAATTATGTCTGAAAATGGTGATTAATTTCCTTTAATATCCATCTCATTAGAAAATTAGAAAATTCAAAATTTGCCAGATGTTAAAATATATCTCGTTTAAATTAATTAATATTTAAACCAATTCAGGGAAGAAAAATCATCGGCAGTAAATTAAGCTGAACACGGAGTATTCGGTTCCTCGAAAGCATGAACTTTGAACTCGATGTGTACATTTAGATTCATTAGTTATGTGTACATTTAGATTCATTAGTTATAAAATATGTCAGGCGAAATTCAAGTTCTTGTAATTTATGATTTTCTTTTTGTGTAGAATTTATACTTCAGCTAAAGATCCTTTTCTGATTGGTTAAAAAATTAATTTATCTTCTCATTGGTTAGAAAATATGACCGACGAAATTCAAATTTCTAGTTGACTGTGATGTTCCTTTGGCACAAAAATGTATATTTTAACTAGAGATATTTTCGATTGGCCTTAGACGCCATTTAATTTCATTTTATAAGTGTTCTATAAAACCATAAGTTTTATGCTAATAGCTTACTCTGTCGCACTTCTTGCTTGTGGAACTCTCTTCCAGCTTTTTTCTTTCCGACCAACTTTAAAAATTGAAATGCAATGTCAATCGGTGCCTTCTCTCTTCTTAATTCCTGTTCGTTTATTGTTCTTCTCATAAATATTTTTCTCGTATTTTCTCACACTCAGCAACCCCCTCGTGTCTTAGTGGCTTTATTGCCTTACTTGGAGTGAAATGATAAAAAAAATAATGTAGTGAGTTTAGGCCACGACAGCAGCAGAATTGACCGTAGGTATATACGTTGTAACAACGGCACCTGACTTACGGTTACATCTAGCAATTTCAAAAGGGAAATGATGAAACCTAACTGCCAATCTAGTACTACGCTTGCATTCTTGAAGTCGAGACACTAAAGATAAAAACTCATCAGAACAATTATCGAGAAAAAAGGACTCAGTAAGACGACGGTGGGAAAGTGAGTGAAGCCGAGATGCCAAGTTAGGACCGATAACGTTGCAGATTCTTTGGATTTTGTCAGGAATCTCTTGATATATAGCAGAAGCGCCAGACCCGATCTGGCTGCAATATAGACTTATAGATATCCAAGATAGATTCTGATGAGGAAAAGTGCCCGCATCACATATTGAACCAATTGCAGACCTAATATTTGATTCAATATAACCGTTCTACTTCATGTCAGTGAAAAACATGAGCTGAAGAAGGCGCAAAGCTTGCACTCCTGGAACATCAGATAACTCCTACTGTAATGAGTTCTATTGTCGGAAGTCTTATAAAAAATATTCCCAGTGGAAATGTTCTGTTATATTCCTTGGTAAGGGAATAAATACTTAACACCAGGTGGATACTAGAAGAAAGGTTTATTGTACAAGTACAATATGAAAATACGGTACAGTTATACACACAGGCCAATCTGGTAGTGAGTGCCACTAACTGGAAGGTTGGACATGCTTGCGTAGTGTCGCTCACACTCCCTGTTGAGTCTCTCGTAGACAGTTGACTTTATAGGTACTTACTACCTATAGTGTAATCATTCATGGGGGTGACTGGTTATTCCATTGCATCATTTTCAGTCTGATAGTTTGTAACACACTGAAAATTAAAACCCCACAAAGATCCGTCAGAGAAATCATTTCCATGTTAAACATGCTTTTCACAAACTACTCGACAATAAGTCAAAAAACTAAAATTGTTTTTTCAACCAATGAAAAAGGTTTAAATTTTAATTAAATAAATGTATATATCTAAGCCACTTTTATGGAAGCCGATTTTATGAAGCGGGCCCTTAACGGCATCGACAGGATTATCATAAAGTTAACCAGATCGTCGAGCCGACACGCAATTTTGCCTGAACCTAGCCGCTTCACTTACCACCATGGGAATGAGAAACCCAACATCAAGGGATACAGCTTTAAATCACAGGTGATTGCAATAAGAAAGCACCTTTTTCCAATTCGAATTTTGTTATACCTTTTTACTTTTATTACTTTTAAATCAACCTAGTTTGAAATGATTAAATAAGGAACAAACAGAAAACGGTTTAAAAAATTAACATGTTTCGCTTTTATTTTAGCTCCATCGGAATCTTTATGAAAATGCCTTATGGAAGAGATTACGTTGATATTTTGAATTCTGTACACCTTCTGATTTAACGGCTTACAAATCAAATACAACAATAGCTTTCTTCTTCACACACGAAAGAAAAGAAAATTGAAAAACAATTTTAAATACATTTCTTTTTATTCCAACTTTTAAACAATCTAAATAGCATAACGTAGATAATGTAGATGAATAAATGCGTTATTTGTTATATGCAATTTGTTTTTCTATTTTTGGCCATCCAGCTGCAAATACCTGAAAGTTAACAGAACAAAATGGCGATTATACAAGATCTGGCAGCAATGAAACAAAGGAAGGATGAATCATTGTCTAAGTTATAAGTTCGGCCAAGATAACCTATAAAGACGAGAAGCAAACAGATGTTTCTACCCAAACGCAATTGGCCGAGTACTACACGGGCGCACGGATAAATAATTTTGAGCGGGAAGATGTAGAGAGAGTCGAATTGGCCACGTTAGATGGGGTGTTTACGAAGGAGTGAGTGAATGCTGGAAAGTTTGGGAGAACTGGAAAATGGTAATTACGTGAGAGGAAAGAAAGACAAAAATGGCTTACGGGTCCTGCTATAATTGTGGGAAAAGGTAGATTGTTCCGAACCAAAAAAAAAAAAAAAGGAAGCAGGAAGTTTGAGTCTTTGTGGACGAATGGTAGGAACGTACGCCGGAAGCTTATGGTGTGGTATGTTGGAGGTGCAAAAGATAAGGACACAAAGGAAAAGAATTCTTCCCTTAAAGGTTTACCCACAAATAGTAGATTGAAGTCATACGAGCTGTAGAAAATTGGAAGTGAGAAGGGCAGGGTCGTCCGAATGAACATAACCTCAGAGAGAAAGAGAGATGAGAGAGAGAAACGGTGAAAAACGTGATTGATGAGAGCAGGAAGTATAAGAAAAATTAGATTTGAGTGTTGTTGAACGTTAACACACTGCTGAGGTAATCATAAGTAAATTGTGTATTGCAAGTGTGATAGTGAAGGCCACATGAAAAGAATAGTGAAACCTAGAGTAAGAGGATTAAAAATAGAGAAAAAAAACGGATAGACCGAAAGATACGCAAGATAGAAGGAAGGATAAACAAAAGAAGGTTGAAGGAAAAAACGAAGGGAATAGAGAGAGATGGTGAAAGAAGACCACCTGACTCAAAGAGAGCCGAGGCAGACAAGTGGAAGTGGAAAGTACAAGAGGAAGTCAAGAAGAAAACGGAGCTGGTGAGTACATTGATAGGAGAGGAGAGTAAGGCGAAAACCCTGATAGACACAGAGGCGGCAGTGTCGATGATGAAATTTGAGACATTAAAGGAACTTGAAGTGAGTAGAAGGGGATTGAAGCCTTCTGATTTTATTCTTACGTAAGCTGATGGTGAGCTGGATGGGATCGGGTTGATAGCCTCGCCAACTGAAGTTGTAGAATTTGAAGCTCCACAAAAGCTGCATATGTCCTTCGAGGTTGGCGCGTTGTTTCATTTCCTGCAGAGATTGGCTTCAGAACAATAAGGCTTCTTGCTGTTGTTGTTGTTGTTCTGGTTTTGTGCTTCGTGTTCTTTCAGAACGCAGACGATCATGGCTTTCATCATCTCCCTATCCTTTGTAGCCATGTTTGTCTTTTTACTACCCTTCCCACTCCCTGTTCTGCCATCCATTTACACAAGCTTGTTAGATAGGCTACTTTTACCAATATCATACTTGCCTTCAATATTGGTGATCGTGGCTCTCCACAACTTCCTATCATTCGTAGTTCTTAGCAATGTTTGTCTTTTTACTATACTTCCCACTACCTGATTTGCCATCCATTTTTAGTCAAGCTTGTTAGGTAGGTTACTCACTTGCCTTCAATATCGGAGATCATGACCCTCCACAACTTCCTATCTTTCGTAACTCTTACCAATGTTTGGCTTGTTACTATCCTTCCCTGTTCTATCATCCATTTTTACAGAAGATTGCTAGGCAGGTTCATCGCTGCTTCTCTCTGCCCTTCTACCCCTAATATATTCTTTGATTACCAAATTCTCCAAGTCTTCTTTCCTCGTGTAACCCAGAGATTTCAGCTGTCCTTTTTTATTCTAAGTATGTGCCCTTTTTGGTTCCCTGTTCTTTAAAGCTTACTCGTTGCTCTGATGTTCATAGTATTCTCAGTATCCTTCAGTAGAACCACATCTCTACAAGTATGGACATTTTTCAGTATTAACTAAAATATAGGAGGATTGATATTACATAGAAGTTCAGCACTCTTTTCTTTGTTTCTATCATTTTTGTTCCTGTTTCTTAATACTTTGTCTAGATTTTTGAAGGCATCTTTCACTATTCCAGTGTGCTTCGGATTTCGGTGCCACATTTTCCATCGTCCAAGAATAAAAAAGGCAGATCGAATATCGATTCACCTCTGTTGAAAATGGGAATAAAAAAAGATACGAAGATCGGCTACAAGGTTCATAGGCTGACCAAGCTAGAAATGTAATTAGACACCAGTTTGTGGACTGGCCGGCCAGCTGCTGTATTCTGGTACACCTGCGTGTCTTTTAGTCTACCAACTGGTGTGTCTACTTACATTTATATCTATGAACTTTTCGTAGCCCTGGGAACAGTATTTGTTGAAGAGTTAACGCTATTATCGGGGTGAGAGATGTTAAGTTACCTCTCTCTACTGCAGTGTACTGTCGTTGAAGACTACCCACCCACGGCGAGGACAGAAAAGTGTTTTATCAGATTATACCATTTATTTTCTTCCAGAAATTGAAGAACTGTTTTTTGCTGGAGGCAGTGGTCCGGGGATGATTATGTTAAATTCAGACCTTGCGTGCGAATTTCTGCGGAAGTTATTTTGGGGCACGCGAAGGATTTATCAACCAATCAGTTTGAATTTACAAAATTTAAATTCGTTTTTTTTTAAGAATGCCTCATTTCGACTTCGTTTTTATCAACTTTTAGAACAGATTTTCACCAAAAGTTAATAGTGAATTCAAAAGGTTTTGGAAGTTAGTTTTTGGCGCAATTATTTGGCCTCCATTTTCTTCCGAGTTACTGGTGATAGACTTTAAGGAGAATATAAAACAAGGTTAGAGTTCAAAAGTTTTATTTGAAAACATTCTTTCAAATGAAATAATGTCATTTTAATTCTACAAAAATAATTTCTTTTTTTATAAATTATTGTATATTTTTTACACTGATGTTCACCCTGTACAAGGCCCAAGAGCCACTCGAGGTAGTGTTACAGAGTAAGAGGCACTATCCCAAGCAAGGAAATAATACCATCAAGTCGCAAGGGGACATCGCAAGAGAAAGGGAAAGAAAATGATTTAGAAAGAACCGGAAAACCAATCCTAAGCAGCAAACAAAGGGTAAACCTTTACTCCTGTTCAAAAGATCGAGGAGGAGTGTGAACCGGACGATAGACAACCCTATCTACTCCTATTGATAAATATTTAAGTAAATATAAGTAAATATTTTGTATGAAATATTTTATCTAAACTTTTCAAACACATTTATTTTTAACCCATTAACTGCCAAATATTTTAATGCTCATTTTTTACCCAGACAGGTGTCTTAGGTGTTTATTTATTCCTCATGTTTAATTTCAGTAGTTACCAGTGTCATTTTTATAGAAACTAGAATATCAAATATATATGTGTATAAAACATCAAAAAATAATATTGATTAGAAATAATAAAAAATTATTTTTCAAAATAGTCATTATTTTTCTACTCGTCAAATATAAAATTACGACAAAAAGTGTCTTCTTACGGCGAATAATAAAAACTTTAAAGGCTAAGTGTTGTAAAATATACCTCTGCAAATGCAATGTATGTAAGCAATTCAATGTAAATACAAGGAATAACATGTAGTGAGTTTAATTTTAACCGATCCCAAAATAGATCTCATGGCAGGTAATGGGTTAAATAAATTCTTATAACGCAAAAACAGTATCGAACACCGATACATAAAAATCAATTGATACAGAAGACGATTCAATAGATATTGGGAACTAAAATAATTGAGAACTCTGCATCATCATCAAAACTTACCGATATTAATAGTAAGAAAGACGAGGCACAAATTCAATGTGGATTTTAGAGCTTCAAACATCCCCATCAAACCACAAGCCTACTCGTTGCCATTATTTGTATATATAATGACTTTCTAAGGAAATGCAACTTACTTCTCCTCCTTCGGTCTGAGATCAGAATACTAACAGGTAACTTTGAAAAAGACAGATAAAGTGAATACTGCCATTTCATGTCATGAATAAATTCAGGAAAACCCTTTTCAGTTTGATTAATGTATCGGGGCAAACTGAAAAGCCTTATGCTGATCTGATACATGATATGAAAATGTAGTATTCACGTGCTGCCTCTTTCTTTTTTAGTTTGTTTAATGCATGGTGGTGGGGGCATGTGCATTGTGACGTAATGGATATCGGTTTGGAATGAGAGATCCGAGAGCCGAGTTCGAATTCCAGTCGGATTCGTTACATTCACTTACCCGCAAATATCCTTGGGAAAGGCATGAGCCCATCTCTTCTCCTCACAGCTATGCATTGAGTGTTCTATAACCTTGGTTGGCAACCAGTCTACTACAGAAGGGAACGCGGGAAAATCGTGTGTCTAATCAGTCATGAATCGAAAGAGACACAATCGCCCGAGTGTGTATCACGTATGGCACTTAACTGAATGTATCGGGGATCTTCCAGAAGTTCATGTCGATAATCCTAAGTGCGTTGAAAGGATTTGCATAGAATATATTTTGGTTTTCTAGAATAATCTGGAAGAACATTTTTGACATTTTCTGGCCGTTTTCGACAGATTGAAGGAGCGCTGATTAAAATTTAAATTATCAAAATGTTAGTTCCTCCAAGAGGAAACCAAATATCTGCGATTACTTATAAACACGAATCGGATGAAATCGAGTATAGATAACGTAAAAGCGATTAGAGCCACGCCAAATAGGGCAGGTTGATATTTGCCTTCTCACTCGTTATGAAAGCTGGGCTTGGATGTGATAAGTAAAGAAACCAAATTTAGATTTATAGCGTTTACCAATTTTTTAGCATTTAGTTTTAAAGGTCGCTTGAAAACATGTAGAGAAATACCTAATTCCGAAGGTTTTTGCTTACAAATGGACTTCAAGCGTGCACTACTTCAAGAATAAATCCAAATAAAGTTGATATCTTTTGTATTAGATACATTGAATAGAAAATATATTCAAACTAAAATTCTGATTATGAATCACCACAAGCAAAATATACAGTTTTTTTTTACTGTATTCGATCAGTAAAAACCGTGTAAAAAATTGTAAAAGATTATAAAAGAGGCTATTCAGTGAATAAGAATTTTTTTATCATTTCTTAGATCATAATTAATAGAAGCAAAAACAGATAAAAGTGTATATAATACCATAATACTGCTGGGCACAAATTATAAGATAAAATATTTTAAATTTGCATTATTTATTGAAAATCATACTAAAACTATTACACAGTATAACATGACATCATAATATGACTAAATTGTTCAGTATAATTTCCCTTTGAAGTAAATGAAGGTCTTATTTGATGGCACATTGATTTAGTAATAATGTGTTTGCATCATTCATCTTCTCCATACACAATTTGTAAAGCTTCAGTAAATTATACATTTTATAAAGCTGTAATATAAGGCTTTCACTGATCACCAGAATTAAATTGCAACGCTACGATTTTGAACCTAAATTTAATCTTTGAACTCGTTTTCTGAAAAATCGGTAAAGATTTGAAAAATATTTTGTGTCTTTATTTATCATGTCAAACCCCAACTTTCAAATTGAATGCAATACCACGGTTCCAAAATCGACTTGACCTAATGGCCAAGTTTCGTACAGTGGGAGGGGTCATTATATTTATTGCGCCAGGAGTACTACAAGAGATTTAGATCTGAATTCCCAAGAATCGTTGCCCATGGATAAATTAAAAAAAAAGTTTGCCAAGTTTAAACGTATTGAAGATTGACAACATTCCTTCTGTGTACAGAAGGAGAATCTGACAGCAATCTACTTGTTGATTTATCAAGTTTTGAGTAGGCCGATGTCTCTGACAGATTTTCTTTTTAATTATTTCACCCCCAAGTAAAACGATAAAAGCGCAAAAGGTTACATTTTGTTTTCTTTTGCTTTGTTTTTTTTATCTGTCTATATTTCTGAGATGAGGTATTATGTACACTATTTACATTATTCGGACTATTGTCCTCGTCTTTGTTGCCATGGCACAGTGGATAAAGGCTTTGGTTAGATCCAGTGACAAGACCCAAAGAGTGTGAGTTCAATACCCGGTTAAGGCAGTGCGGAACTTGGAGAGGGGATTTAATAGGAGATAACTGACGTCCATTAAATATGGCACGTGGAACTAGAACAGTCTACCCCAGTGAGCGAAATAAAGGTTTCAGTTCGATATTCCAACCACCTGAAAAAGTCCAGAGCGTACAACGGGCGAAACGTTTTGTTTTTTTTGTTACTAATGTTCAACCAATATAAGGCCTGAGAGTCACTCAAGGCAGAGGGCTACTGCGTGAAGTTTTATTAGCGTAAGAAAGGGTAAGAAGTGAAGTTCTTTCTGTGATTCAAGAACGATAAAAGCTAGTTCTAGACTTGAAGATGTCAAGATTTAATTGGTGAATCAAATTTTAGTACCAAAGAGAAGGAGGTGGAGTAATGGATAGCGGCTCGGATTGAGGAATCGGAGAACTGAGTTCGAATTCCAGTCGAATCCATTATATTTACTTACGAGCTAATACCCTTGGAAAAAGTAGGAATCCTCTCCTTCTCCCCCCAACCCCAGCTATTGGTAAATAGCAGGACAGACTGGGATCTATAGCCTTGGATGGCAACTGGTCTACCGCAGAAAGAAATGGCTGCTGCGAAAAATCTGCCTCGTCAGTCATGTATCGAAAGATACATGATCGCCTAAGCGTGTATCACGTATGGCACATAACTGATTAACCAAAGAGAAAAGTAATATTTATTTTGAAAAATACAAATGCCAAAGGGGAAGGCTGGTCTTCAATCTATCTTATCTTAAACCTAGCGACCCACAATTACTGACCCAAATATACCACAGCATTCCTTACATCCAACAATACATTCTTACTTAGCATTCTTACTATAGCCGCCATAATACCACAAAGACTCTATGAAGTCCTAACTAGAGGAAAGTTCATCAGAACAGTTGCCATGATAGCATTTATCGAAAAGGCCAGAAACGATGGCGGGAAAGAGATTGAAGCCGAGATGTCAGGTCAGGACCGATTATGTAGCAGATTCGTCTTTGGATTGTGAAAAATCTCTTGGAGAAATGCCAAAACAGATATGACGACAATATTTGATGCAAGTATATCTCACTGATTTTGAGCGTCAAGTTATCGTATTTTTCAAAGAACATCCGACGTGGGGATTGAAGAAATTCTTCCTGAATTTTTCACCCACGTCAGTTGTCACCAGTTTTCAACGGTTGTCTCACGCCTTTCTGGATTTACCGCCTTTTTTACTGGGCAGCCTGTAGTTTATTTTGGGGATCAACTGAATGATACTAACCAGTCTTTTGCCCATTGAGCTGTGAGATTTACGTCAATGATATTTCTGAAGAATCTGTTGAAGAAATACCAAGCCAGATATGACGACAATATTCGATGCAAGTAAATTTAAAGGGTATTTGCAGATAACTTTCGTCTTTCGTTCTGCCCTTCTCATATAGCTAAACAACTCACTGATTTTGATTGTGAAGTTATCGTCTTTTTCAAAGAAGAACATCTGACGTGGGGATTGTGATGAAATGTGCGGAAATTCTTCCTGAATTTTTCATCCACATCAATCGTCACCAGTTTTCAATGGTTGTCTCACGTCTTTCTGAATTTACCGCTTTTTTTACTGGCCACCCTGTAGAACAGACAGTTTCGGACAACTTTGTAATCTGGAATCAAATGAAAGAGAAGAAGATTAAACGAGTGGATGCTAATTATCTGAAATTATTAGTGATAAAAGAATTTATCATTTTAAACAGTGGATACCCATATTTGAGTAGATGTTCCGTTTATTTTTTTTTATTTTGTTTTTTGATACTGTATATTCATTTAATTTCGTCTGCCGGCATGAATATTCGAGAAATCTTATTAAAGAAATAATTAATTATTTAATAATATTTTTTTATATTAATTTGCCGGATTAATGAATAAAAAATCCATTACTTCTTTAGTAATTGCTTTGTTTACATTTACAAGACTGAGCAGATGTGAACTTTCAAGAATCTGGAAAGGATATGCGCTTATAAGGCACTATTCTGCCTCGCTTTTCATGGCCTAGTCGGTCTAAAGCATGTCGGATCTAACGACTGTTTCTCCAGCAAAGGATGATGAAAGTGCGTATCCTGCCAGAGAGCGCATATTTTTCTTTGATAATAATTCCCGAATAGTCAGGTCGGTAGACGAAAATAAAAAAAAATATATAATGATAAACGGAGCGTCTACTCAAATATAGGTATCCACTAAAAATAACGTTTAAAGCGATAAAATCTCTCGGACTAGTTGAAATTAAATATATCCATTACTTCTTTAGATAGAAGAATTGGAGATTCTTCCTCCTGGTCGTACAAGAAAAATCGTTAAAACTGTAACGTTGTTCAAGCTGCCAGTCAAGCAGGGATTAAGAGCCTTGAATGTTGAACTAGAAATGATCCGCTAAAGGAAGAAGGGATGGGCTCGGATAGACTGGTGAGTCTTCGCCAAACAACACAAGAGAATGGGACTCTGAGGACGAAGACCCCTGAGCAGAATTGGAAGGGGACACTATTGAAATATAGGTTAAGAAGTGCCACAAGGAAAAGAGTAAGGGAAATATTCCCTGGTGAGCAGGGGTAGGGGCCAGAAATGAGAGTGAGTCTGATATCACTACCACTGCCTAATTAACGAGTCGTTCTAAAGACGAAAAGAGTGAATGCCTCAATGGCAGGTGGGTGGTGGTGGCTTGGGAAAGCGTTGGTGTTTGCGTGCTGTTCGGTATGGGCAGGCGTCAAGTCCTCGCTATTTTATCATTCTGACGCCGTGAAGGACGATAGAAATCGCCTGTGAGAAAAGAGAAATAAAAATGGAGAAGTACTGGAGTAACACAGGAATGTTTACAGATAGAATGAAAAGATAGGCCGATACCAGTCGAAGATATAAAGAGGGATAGACTTAGAGTATTCAGAAAGTGAGAGAGAGAGAGAGAGAGAGAGAGAGAAGAAAAGTTGGCCAGAAGAAAACGTCTAATTACTCTGTCCTATCAGTGGAACAGAAAGGAAAGCGGGAGAAATAAAAGGGAGGAAACAGAAATTTGGGGTCAGAAGACGTTTTAGAGGGGAAGATGCTCCTGATAAGAAGAAGCTGGAGTCGGTAGAGATAAGTAGATCTGAACCCCTAAGCAGTAGAATTACTCTAAAATTATATTATTGACTAAATACATTAAAACCCTTTGGAGACAGAGCTTCATTTGGAGTTTCAGTGCTAAGAAGACGGAGCCCTTTTCACAAGCTCTCACTTGGAACAAAAAAAATCAATATAAAATCACACAATACAACAAACTATTATAGAAACCTCCATTGAAAGCCCCATATGTACAGGAAATGCAGGAAACAATCTGATTGGCTGGTACGAAGACCAGCGAGCTAATCTTGAAGCTTGTATTATCAGACCGATAGATCGACCGGGCGTCTTGTTTGTCATTCGAGTTTTCGGCCCTGACGTCTCCTAAGGGTTTTAATACTCAAAAACATTGAACAGATGATTTTGAAGAAAATAATTTCTATTGTTGCTAAAATTTGAACAGCTTCATGATTCCATCCTCCTAGAACTTGGTATCCTGACCGCAAAGATGGTAAAAGGCAGTAGAACAAAATGGCACATATTTGGTTGAATAAATCTATGTGCGAAAGTGTGTCGTTACCAGTTTGGTCACGGGAGAACGTCATGATAAAGCAAAGCTCAGTTACCTACTTAAACAATGCACATCTTTCTCTGGGACTTCCATATTGTCTAGTTTCATTTTCTTACCCGAAACGTAAACAAAGTAATTTTTAAATGGATTTTTTTAATCCAACTATGTATAGCTGACCACTCGTATTTGAGGGCACCCGTCTACTAGGGTGGCTAGCCAATCCCTATTGAAAACGCTTGCTTAGGCGCGTTTGTGTTTGCCGTGAGGGCTAGGACTGGTGGAAGTAAGGATTGTAGGCCTTCTGAAAACTTTGCAAGGAAATAGCGATAAAACAGTGAGAAGCTTGCGACGTCTCATCTGTGAGAAAGGGGTTGCAGAGTGCAAAATAATTTGTCGCCTACAAGAACGCGTAGACGCTTTTGTATTCTACCGAAACTGCAAAGTGAAGACTGGGCAGCTCCCACCCATATATGGCAGCAGTACTCCATTTTCAGCCTGATCTGGCTTTTGTAAAGGTAGAGCAGAGCACGAGGAGTCAGGTGCTTACTGGAGCGGTACAGGGAAACGACCATTTTTCCAGCATCTTTAGCGATGGATCGTATATATGAGTTCTACTTGAGGTCTAGGTTGAGTTTAAGTCTCATGTGGGTGGAAACCTACGCGTGAGATATTAGTAGGGCTTGAGGAAGCTTGATATCAGTCAAAAGACTGAGTTAAATGTAAAAAGGCCCGGTTTTATGATATAAAACTAGGGAAAAACGTGAAAATAAATTATATTGGATTTAATGAGCATTGAAATTAAACATGGTAAAAGAATTAATAAAGTCGAAAATTGAGATGAGTTGTGGGATCCTTAAGGAATTGAACCCGAATATTAACATGGAGATAACTTAGCAACTTAATACAATTGGGTATGGACCCGCACCCACATGCTACACACGCTAACTCGGCCGTAAACAATAATGAGATAAACTAATTCCTGGGTCGAAAATAAAAAAGAAAAGAACTATCTCTAAAATCCCTTTTGATACTTATATATTTACCCGGTCTCTACCCTAAGGTAGGATGTGACACAAGGTCAGTTTTACGTGGGGAATCTATATACACACGTATGCATATGGATCAAGTACACAAATTGTCTAGTATCCGCGATCAATGTCATGCTAGCGTCGATATTACACCGGCCCCCATCTCTCTTAGTGACAATGAAAAAGGCGTTGCCGCAGGGTTGGAATCGACGGGAGTGGGCACCTTCTCTCATCTAAAATGAAGACAGTTTAATTCACTTCTGACCAAATATGAACTCCTGTGCCCTAGGAATAAGCTGTTTATATAAAAACCTATCTTTCAGATTGATGTTTGTTTTTAGATAGAATATATGGTGAAACAGGACAAAGAAACTCTAGCTCAGAGGCCACGATGTTTCGTCTGCCCGACCGGAGCCGCCATTTGCAATTTAGTCAGAGCGCATGCGTGATTCTAGCACTTTTAACACTATCGCTAATTTAGCATGCGCGGTCAAAAACCTGAATAATAGCTGAGCTGCATAGACGGGCAGGGATTCAACTACAGGCTTATTGCGACTATCTTCGACAGAATAATCTATGGAAAAAAGAGAACTTTCCAAAGGAAGAACGCTGTCAAAGTTAAAAAGATGATTTCGTTTGTTTAAATACATATTCGCCGGTGGTCTTAAAGGAAGAATAGTTTTCAAGAAAGACGATTTTCAAGAAGCAAGTGTTTATGAAATTAGTCAGTCGTACCAAGACATCAGTGGTGACAATCCAATGAATTCAATTCCCATATAAGCAATGAGAATTGACTAAAGGCGCAGTATCCCCCCAAAAAAAAAAAAGCTGTAAGAGAAAAAAAAATGAAACGGAGTGGTGTAAAATGCAAGGTGAACTCAAATTATAGCAGTAAGACAAAGTTTCTCTAGCATAAAGAGGAATTTGCCGACATCGACTATTGTGGTTCTATCATCCGCATAGTAGCGAACGAATGATTCCTGATTAAGACCCCTGCATATCGCTGTCAAGCACGAGATCTAGAAAAGGAAGACGCTAGTTTGAAATAACTATGTGTTCAACAACTAGATTAAATTATATCTTAATAATAGCTAAAGGCATTCTGATCTTGTTTGTCCTTAATCCAAAATTTCAGTTAATCTTGGGAATAATTTTTACAATAATATTCACCTTGTACAAGAGCCACTCGAAGTAGAGACTTACAGAGTAACAGGTAAGAGCTGCAATTTATGCGGATATGTGGGGAAGATAATGGTTAACCCTAGACTTGATCAGGTTAAGATTGTAGTAGTCGGGGAAGCATTTTCTTGGAAGTCGATTTCACGGGGTAGCTGTTCCATTGGAACTTACATTTCATCAATGGAATTCGAAAGAAATGATGGTAGTTTGTTACAATATTCATGGCATGGCGAGTCTTAACGGCGAAGGTTAGAAATGGTGGAACTAAGGCGCGTGATTCGTCTGAACACTTAATTTAAAGATACTAGAATTGTTTTACAACACGCGTCAGCGTATTTAAATCCTCACAGAATCGTTGAAATTATCGCTAACAGTTTTGTCGAGATTTACAAACTGAACGTTTCGTTCAATTTTGCAAACCAAGCGATGAAATTTACATAAGCTGATTTGTTTGGAAAAATAATTTCACAAATCCCTACTTCGCGGTTGAATAATTTCTTTAATTTGATTTTATAAAACTTCATGTTAAACAATATTTTCTTAAGAAAATTTCTTTTTTTCCTTTCTAACAGCAAAGAATAAAGTCTTACGATTTCTTATTCTTGAGCATGCAACATACAACTGGCCATGCATAAATATTTCTTTCTAGAGCCAAATTCCAACTTTTTCATGCGTTTGGCCTTGTGATTTGTTTATAGTTCTCGCAAATGCAGAGGGAAATGGAAACTTTTTTTTTTCTTGTATATATAAAACCTTAAAGAAAAGATATGCAAAAATAGCAACATTGCATTATATGCAAAAATAGCAACATTGCATTATATAAGTTTGTTATTAAAATAATGGGAGTATTTTGTATGATGAATAATAAAACTTTTAATTTTTCCTTAAAAATTAATGAAATTTTATTGCACTATGCTACGCACTCTAGTAAAGCCCACTATACTTTGTACTCCTTACCTGTTTGTACTTTTCCCTAAAATTTGGTTCAAATCGCTCAATGTATGTCTATTTTAGAGAGTGTGATGGACGGACTAACGGAAGTCACAGAATTTGATATATAAATATCAACCCCTACTGCATTACTCAAGGTCAAATATAAGTCTTCTTGTACAAACATCACAATGAATTAATAGAAATGTAGAGATAAATCCGACCCTCATTTGTGTCAAACGCTAGGCATAGGTCTGATGTGGCAGAATAAAGACTTTGCCCAAGATTTTAGTAGTGTATATTTAGTATGTAACGTTTCGTGGTTGGGGCGGGCGGAGTATTTATCCTAAATAACTGAATGGGAGTTTTGAGATACAGGAAGTTGAGAAAATTATAATAGAAAGATAAACCAGTATCTGTCTATATTTCTGAGATGAGGTATTATGTACACTATTTACATTATTCGGACTATTGTCCTCATCTTTGTGGCCATATTTATCCGATCCTTCAGTATCTGTCTATATTTCTGAGATGAGGTATTATGTCCACTATTTACATTATTCGGACTATTGTCCTCATCTTTTCGGACTATTGTCATCTTTATCCGATCCTTCAGTATCTGTCTATATTTCTGAGATGAGGTATTATGTCCACTATTTACATTATTCGGACTATTGTCCTCATCTTTGTGGCCATATTTATCCGATCCTTCAGTATCTGTCTCTATTTCTGAGATAAGGTATTATGTACACTATTTACATTATTCGGACTATTGTCCTCATCTTTGTTGCTATATTTATCCGATCCTTCAGTATCTGTCTCGATTTCTGAGATGAGGTATTATGTCCACTATTTACATTATTCGGACTATTGTCCTCATCTTTGTGGCCATATTTATCCGATCCTTCAGTATCTGTCTATATTTCTGAGATGAGGTATTATGTACACTATTTACATTATTCGGACTATTGTCCTCATCTTTGTCGCCATATTTATCCGATCCTTCAGTATCTATCTATATTTCTGAGATGAGGTATTATGTACACTATTTACATTATTCGGACTATTGTCCTCATCTTTGTGGCCATATTTATCTGATCCTTCAGTATCTGTCTATATTTCTGAGATGAGATATTATGTACACTATTTACATTATTCGGACTATTGTTCTCATCTTTGTCACCATATTTATCACAACGTTTCGGCCGATGTACGCTCCGGCCTTCTTCTGGTGGTTGGAATGTCGAACTGAACCCTTTATTTCGCTCGCTGGGGTAGACTGTTCTAGTTCCTTAAGGACACGTGGCACAGTGGATAAAGGCATTGGTTAGATCCAGTGACAGGACCCAAAGAGTGTGAGTTCAATACCTGGATAAGGCAGTGGAGAACTTGTAGAGGGTAATTAACAGATGACTGATAACATCCATTAGACATGGCACATGGAACTAGAGCAGTCTACCCTAGCGAGCGAAGTAAATGGTTCAGTTCGACATTCCAACCACCTGAAGAAGGCCGGAGCGTACATCGGCCGAAACGTTGTGATAAATATGGCAACAAAGATGAGGACAATAGTCCGAATAATGTAAATAGTGGACATAATACCTCATCTCAGAAATATAGACAGATACTGAAAGGCAGAAAAGTTGTAATAAATATGGTGACAAAGATGAGGATAATAGCCCGAATAATGTAAATAGATTAAAGATAAACCAATCGAAACGACTAATTAGATTTTATAAAAACGCTTAAAGTTTCGGATTTGAATTGATAAGAGTCGAAAACCCTATTCCTTATTTAAAAGCGTTTGTACGTGACAAAATCTTCAAATGACCGAACGAGTAAAAAAGTTTTCTAAATATGTTCTTATTTCCCTCAAAGTACATTTCTCATCGCTTGATCCAACTTTGGAAAATAAAAAAAAACATTTCTGGGTTTATCGTGTAGCTAGTGTCAGCCAGCTAAAGCCATCTGGTTTTTGTCGAGACATTCTTTTTCTTAAGAAAAAGGCCTACGTGACAATTCCAGCGTTTATATAGCCATAGACAGAAACATACATACCCGCAGTCTCGGGCCCCAGGGTTCATATACCCAAGTAGTATCTCTCCTTCGGGGGTGGGGCTGGGGTCATTATCCAGCACCTGAGGCATCCCCAATAGAGGATAGGCAGAGGGGAGCTTGAACAATTCCTTAACGATTTCCGAAATCCCACACTAAAGCCAAACTTTGTGCTACACTCTGTTATGACGTTGGCGTACGGATAAATACCTACAAGGAGAGAGCGACTTTAGTCAGCCAGTAAAGCCCGTTTTGTCCTCTGGACGTAGGAGATGTGGAACTAATTTTCCTCGGAGTTAGAAGAACGAAGTCGAGTGAAAAAGGGAATAGATAGACTTAAAAGAAAAAACGAAGATGAAAAAAGAAGTCGCTATTATCATTAGATTCTGACCATTAATATTAAAGGGATTAAAAGGACATAAATTCTTGTGTGCAGATTAGCGTTCGCTCCAGCTACAAAGAAAGAGAAGGAAGAAAATACAATTTTGCAGCGATTAAATAGTTGTTTGGTATCATCAGAATGACCTTTTGATTTGATTTCGTTTTCAGTTAAAAGGTTTACCACGGGCCTGTCGGATATCCAATTCGACAGATAAACACATCACCAGTTGTAACATAGCAGAGGAAAGATCACTGCATGACAAGTTGCAACATAGCGAGAACAGATTAAGACTAGTGTGGTAGCATTTGCAACTCTTTATTTCGCCGAGAAGCAGTGAGGCTTGCCACAAGTAAATGTAACCTGACAGCAGTGCAGTTAACGAAGAGTACTTGAGGCTTATACTGCGACCGGATCTTACACTGGTATCCACTTGAGATTGTAAGCATTCGCATCAGAGATGGAACCTTTTGTTAGGATTTACTCCTCTGCAGAGGAATCAGTTGGCCTACTCTAGGCACCGCCAAAAGAGCAATTGATATTGACTTGAATATATAAATAGTCGAGCAAATACACAAGCCATACGGCCTGACGATTGCGTTTAGGCATAAAACAGACTGTTGCCTCTTGGTGTTAATTTCAATGTCCACTTTTGTGTTTATATACATACATATATATATATATATATATATATATATATATATATTATATAGATAGATAGATAGATAATATTAGTGGTTAATACACACACACACACACACACACATATATATATATATATATATATATATATATATATATATATATATACATACATACATATACATATATATATAAAAAATTTCCAAGAGGATAGAATCCAGGTAGAACTCAATGTCCAGGACAGAGTAAGGATATAATAAAAAGGCTTAAACACTAATATTCCATGGTTATAATTTATTACATTGGAATCGTAATCACGATCCAATTCATCAGACCTACAAATTCAAAAAGAAATCAGAAAAAATAACTCCGGGAATAAAAAAAATAAAATTTAGTGAGAGTGTATGTATGAGAGTGGGGGACGAATGTGAGAGGTAAGTGAAAGCTTTAGAGAGGGGGTAACAGACGACAGAAGAAGAGGAAGGCCTAAAAGTGAAGGTGGGGATTCAAATTTAACAGAGAGAAGTTTTACAGAGATGTTAAAAGACGGTTTAAATGAATCAGATACAGATAAATATGACTTATTTTCCGATACATAATTCATTACTGAATCGCTGACGTAAATTAAATTAAAAAACCAACACCGGAAATGGTTGTATACATTTGTGGTGACACTAGGCACAATAAAAGGTTTTTAATTTAATTTAGTACCACGACGTGGTGTAATGGTTAACAAGCTTGTTTTGCGTGAACAGTTACGACTTAGTGAGTGCGATCGTTACTATGTGCCCCATACTTTCGGCTTTGTGCCTGCCACCTCTGAGCCACGCTTAGAAGATTACCATTACTCCACGCCGAACTGTTCACGAGATAGATAGGTAGATAGATAGATATGAGCAGACAGAGAGAGAAGTATATCTGTTTAAAGAAATACATTTTATACTAAGGTCACTTCACAATGCGTAGCAAGTTAGTCTCGTTGAGCATTACCAAAGTAGTGAGTTCGATCCTCACAGGGTTCCCTATATTTGTGGCTATGTGCTGTACTGAGAAACGAAATAGCTAGTTAGTAAACACTTCTACGACGCTAAGCTTACAGCGATTTAGTTAGAATTGCGAAAAGTGTCAGTGGGTGTTGCGCTAATTGACTTTGACAGTCTATGATATTTTTTTTTCTATCTAGCTTAGGAAGTTCCAAGAAATACGTTTTTTTTTCTCTCTTCCACTTACTTGAGTAACAAGCTTTGTGGAATATACCAACAAGTGAAAGAATGAATGAAAATAATTTAGAAATGAGTTTAATCAGTTTGTGTCAGGGAGTTGGTTTAACATTTTTTCGTCCCTATTTTTTTTAAAAATCTGATAACAGAGATTGTCGCTAATTCACTAGACTGGTTGGCTGAAACCAAGATGATTAAAATATAAAACAATATAAATTGATGAATCAATAATATGTTTACTGTCTCTCACGGCTTAGTTTCAGAAGCACAGTAATAAATTTCTAAGTTTATATACATTAGGTGTGTGCAAAAGTTCTCAGCGGTAAACCAGATACGAACTTCGAATGGGAATTACCAAAATCACACAAGTACGAAAATTTAAATATCTGGGAATTGTTTTAAATGAAAGATGTGACACCGAAATTCGAAAGCGCATTGAGACAGCGAAATATGCCTTACAAAGCCTAAGCAAAGTATTAAGAAACATGAAAATTCCGTTAGAAAAGAATACTGAACTGTTATGTAATATCGGTCCTGCTTGTTAATCTTATCACAGATAACGAAAAAGACTTGAGGCAGCAGAAATGTGCTTCTACAGAAGGATACCGAGAATACTATGGACTGAACACGTGAGGAACAAGAAGGTTTTAAGGAAAATGGAAAAAAAAGATCGATTATATTTAACATCAGAAAGAAGGAGATGAAACTTCTGGGATACATAATGAGGAAAGAGCGTTTGGAGAATTTGATACTCACAGTACATATTGGTGGCAAGACGACCAGAAGAAAACAGCGAGTAACCCACCTAGGATTGGGAGGGATAGTAAAAAGACAAACCTTATTAAGAGCTACAAAAGATAGGAAGTTGTGGAGAGTCATGATCACCAACGTCCTGAAGAGACACGACACATAGAACCTTCTTCACAAAAGAGCGCTTGGAACTTTTATATATATATATATATATATATATATATATATATATAGAGAGAGAGAGAGAGAGAGAGATGATGCAAGACATATCATGACATAGCTATACGCTTCACCATCTTAATTTACCTTTTAAAAATCATAGAACTGTGAAAGCAGTAATGTCAATCTAAATAAATATTCTTAAAGACTCCAGTTGAATTTTCAACTTCTTTTTTTCCTATGTAACTGGTCATCCCATAAGTTCTGTCCGAATTTTGAATAAAGAAAACAAGTAACCAAATGTTACATTTAATTACAAATTCAATCAACAATGTATTTTCCCTGATTATCTATGACTTCCTTCCATCTATTAACAAGCTTATTAATTCCATTACTGTAAAATTCTTTTTGGCTTTGATTCGAAGAACTCACAAATCTCAGTTTTAACCTCTTTCTGTGTTACAAAAGCTGTTTCTTCCAAATGATTCTGTAAGTTACAAAACAAATGGTAGTCTGAAGGAGCAAGATCGGGAGGTGGATGAGGAATTTTCTCCCAACCAAGTTTTTTGATCTTTTGTGATGTGATTCTTGCTGTGTGGAGTCGCACATTGTCCTGATGAAACATCACCTCTTTTCGATTCAACTAGAGCAGGTTTTTTTTCCTCAAAGCTTGGTTCAAACGCTCTAATTGCTGACAGTATATTTGAGCATTAATTGTTGTATTAGGTGGTAAGAATTCAAAGTGGGTTATTCCTTGGCGATCCCACCAGATTGAAAGAAGAACCTTTTGCCCATGAAGTTCCATTCTCGGCTGTGGCGGGGGTCCTTCCCCTTTACCAAGCCACTGTCTACGACGTTTAACATTTCGATAAAAGATCCATTTTTCGTCGCCAGTCACAAGTCTATCCAAAAAAGGTGAAACAAGTTGGCGAGAATGGAGAGAAGAGCAGATGTCAACTCGGGATTTGAGGTTGTTTTCAGACAATTCATGAGGCACCCATTTTCCAAGTTTAGGAACTTTTCCAAGTTGCTGAAGATGACAATGAACAGTTGTATGGTTTGAACTGAGAACCACTGCCAATTCCTCAACTGATAAAGAAGGATTTTCTTCAAGGACTGCTTCAAGAAGCTTTTCATCAAACTCAACTGGACGTCCGGTTCGATTTTCATCTTCAAGGGTGATATCTCCACCTCTGAATGAAATAAAATTTGATCAGTTTAAATGCATCTAAACATAAAAATAATGTTCAGCTCCATTAGACATTATAAAGTATTCTTTAAATTTCGTTCATTTTAACAAAAAGTTAAAATTCGGACAGAACTTATGGGATGACCTGATATTTACCCGTTTGGGATGCATAAAAAGAAACTTACTATGTGTTGGGGTGCACCCACCTTCTAACTAGAAATGGACTGGTCCCTCTTATATAAGTCAGCTCTAGAGAGAGACAGAAGAGAGCGAGAGACAGAGCGTCAGCGACAGCAGTCCAGATAAGCTTAACCGTTACATACCGTTGGACTATAGACTTTGGATATTGTTTCGTACTAACTAATCATTCTATTGTTAATTGCTTTTACAAATATACCAGTATTTTCCTCTACAACTGTGTTTGTCTTGATTCATACACCGACACGCGGGAAACTCACAACATCTCAACACTATGTTATATATATTTTCTGTTTATATGTTATTTTTATGGATACAACTTATTTGAGTAAATGCTATGTTCAAAATAAACAGTATTAATTACATTTACCGGCCTGAATGTTCGAGAAATTTCGCGGAAAACATTCGCACTCCGAGAGGAATCAAACCTGTATTCCTATACGGAAACCGTCATATAGCCTGTTGTGCTGTTTAATTATTCAGCCGCAGAGAACTTTCCAGTTGGCAAAGTCCAAATTTACTCAAAATAAGTTGTATTCATAAACATAACGTATAAACAGAAGATATATTAAAATATTTGTCGTATTTAATCCATTTTATATAACATGTTGTCATTGTTATCGTTAGGTTACGTTTCAGAGCAGACACTATATATCGAGAAAAATGGTCGAAGATGTGTATGTATAAGCATCAATTTGGACTCTGCTAACCGGAAAATTCTCTATGGCTGAATGGTTAAACAGCACACCAGGCTATATATGACGGTTTTCTTATAGGATACAAGTTCGATTCCTGTCGGAGAAACGCATATTTTCTACGAAATTTCTTAGACATTGGGGGCAGTAAATGTAATTAATACTGTTTATTTAAACAGAACATTTACTCAGATAAGTTGTATCCATAAACATAACGTATTGTTATGGGGTCCTCCCCTTTTTCATATGTGGACTCTACCGGTGTTACTTGGACGGCTGCCGTTAAATACCCAGAGTTAGACAGTCAGTGAGGGTAGTCGGATAGAGAGAGAATATACGAACGGAGATAGTGTGAGGTAGCCTCTTGTAGAAATCAGTTACAAGCACGTAGACTCTAAGGAAGTCCTACTTCGAGACTGTATATATCTATCTGTATTTGCTACTAACCGTGTTCCTGGATTTACTAACAGTATTACCCTTTGTATGATTGTGCAAATACATTTTATTTCTTATATCTAATTATTGCGTTTGTTCTTCATCGGAGACCGAATTCATCTCGGAATCCACAACAACTTGGCGACAAGGATTCAAACACACGCGGAAAACAACAAAAGAAAAATCTTCCCTCGTCGTCCAACAATCAAATTGGCTTCGAGTGACAATATTCAGTCACCCCCCCCCCCCGCCACGAGGGTGTCATGTGGCACAAGGCCTTTTTAACGTGGGCATTCCCGAGCCATTAGGCTCGGCCAAAAAATAGCCCATAAACGGGTTCTGGGCCGGTTTTACCTCCCCGAAGGAGACTCCGCCCTTCGGCGTAGCCTCCTTCGGGTTCCTCCCGCCCGTAGGAAGAGAGTTTAACCGAACACTCGCTCACACGAAAAGAAGAAAAAGAAAAATCCTTCCCTCTTCGTACAACAACAAATTAGCGACAAACAATTACGAGGAGTAAAAATACGTAAAATTGAGTAATCATGGAAGATTTTAAAAATATTTTGGTAGAACTGATAAAACACCAAAATGAGCAACAATTACAAATGCAAAAATACCAAAATGATCAACAGATACAGCTACAAGAAAAATGGCAAAATCAAATATTACAAACGCAAAAGGAAAATCAAGATAGACAAACAGAACTCCAGGAACTAATATTGAAAGTAGCGGGTAACAAACAATTAGATATTGAAAAAGAGGCAACTTTTTCGCAAGACGCAGTGTGGAATACCATAGAGATTTTCAAATATTCTCTAGATGAGGACAAAAATTTTGGAGATTACTTCAGAAGACATGAAGACATCTTTAATATAGACTGTCAAAATTGGAAAGAAGCAAAAAAGCTACGTCTATTGCTTAGAAAATTAGGAACTGAAGAATATACAAAGTTCGTGGATTATATCTTGCTAAAAAAGACGAACGAATTAACATTTGACGAAGCAGTGACATGTCTTAAAGAACTCTTCAGCCACAAAACATCACTCTTCCATAAGAGGTGGAAATGCCTTAACCTGGTAAAGGGCGTTAATGAGGACTATTCCACGTTTGCCGCAATCGTAAATAAACATTGTGACGACTTCAAACTAGCGGAATTAACCACGGACTATTTCAAATCTCTCATCTTTGTTAAAGGGTTAGTTTCTACAAAAGATAGCGAAATGCGCAGAAGAATGATTGCAAAATTACAAAATGAACCGGGTCTAACATTGCAGCAATTATCGGAAGATTGCCAGAGATGTTTAAGTATAAAGAAAGACGCAAAGGACATTGAAGAATCAGCTGTTACTCATATACGTAAGTTAAACAAAAGTCTACGTTCTTCACCCTCCCCAAAACTAAAATTTTACAATGAAAAAAGATTCTCACCCTCCCCGGAAAGAAAAAGAAAATTTTATGATAAGAGAAAAAGTACAACAGACAGGACAAATTATGACGAATGTCGAAACAAATATAAGCCCCCTCCATCAGCATGTTATCGATGTGGAGGATTACATTGGAACAAGGATTGCTGCTTCAGATATAAAAACTGTCTTGAATGTGGAAAAAAGGGCCACAAGACATCTCAATGTAGAAATAGAAAAGATACTAATAGAATAAGAGTCACAAGGATGCATAACGATGAAAAAACCAATGTAAGGAAATATGTGGAACTGGAAATTTTAAATAAAAAGATTAAATTACAACTGGATTCGGGTTCCGACCTCACGATAATCAACTTACAGACATAGAAAAAACTCAACAGACCTACCATGTTACACACCCAAAAAATTGCCAAATCGGTTACAGGCAAACGAATGAAATTTGAGGGAGAAATAATCATGAATGTTAAATTTCACGGCAAAACAAAAAAACATAAGATATACGTCATGAAAGATACTGAAAATCTAGTAGGTATCGACTGGATGCAGAAGTTCAACATTTGGGACCTACCTATCAACTCATTTTGCAAAAGGTTAGAGGTTGAACCATCAGAGACTATAAAATTGAAGGAGGAATTATATAATCAATTTCCTGAAGTATTTTCATGCTGGTTGGGACGATGCAACAAATTTAAGGCCAAAATAGAATTAAAAGAAAACGTCCAACAAATTTTAAAAAGAAGCGAAATGTACCGTTCGCTACTATAGAAAAAATAGACAAAGAATTGGAGAGACTTGAATAAACTGGGATCCTATCAAAAACAGAGTTTAGTGAGTGGGCAGCGCCGGTGGTTTATGTAAAAAAGAAGTCAGGAGAAATTCACGTATGCGCAGATTTTTCAACGGGACTCAACAAGGCAATAAAAGACCACCATTACCCACTACCAAGCCCAGATGAGATATTTACAAAGCTCAACGTCGATAAGATATTTTCAAAAATAGATCTTAGTGAGGCTTATCTACAAATCCCAGTACAAGAAGAGAGTACGAAAATCCTTTGCATTAATACGCACAAAGGGTTGTACAAATTCAACAGACTACCATTCGGAGTAAAAGTTGCACCTGCAATTTTTCAGCAAACGATGGACACAATGCTCAGGGGCCAGAATTTCGCAACCGCTTATCTGGATGATATTCTAATTAAGAGCGACAATGTTGAAGAGCACACATCACACATAAAAGAAGATTTTAGAAGACTTCAGGACTTCGGCTTCAAAGTAAAAGGAGAAAAGTGTGATTTTTTCCTAAATGAAATTAAATACTTAGGTCAGATAATAGATGAAAACGACAGAAAACACCATAAGAGATAAAAATACTAACTCCCCACAAAAAAGGGATCTAAGGAGGGGGTGTTATGGGATCCTCCCCTTTTTCATATGTGGACTCTACCGGTGTTACTTGGACGGCTGCCGTTAAATACCCAGAGTTAGACAGTCAGTGAGGGTAGTCGGAAAGAGAGGGAGAATAAACGAACGGAGATAGAGTGAGGTAGCCTCTTGTAGAAGTCAGTTACAAGCACGTAGACTCTAAGGAAGTCCTACTTCGAGACTGTATATATCTATCTGTATTTGCTACTAACCGTGTTCCTGGATTTACTAACAGTATTACTCTTTGTATGATTGTGTAAATACATTTTATTTCTTATATTTAATTATTGCGTTTGTTCTTCATTGGAGACCGAATTCATCTCGGAATCCACAACACGTATAAACAAAAAATATTTGTCGGATTTCATCATATATATACAAATTAATTGAGGCAACCGCTTTAATTACCTTTCTTTGATCATACGTCAATTTTAGACCCACTGGAGAGGCAGGGTGTAATCGATTTCTAGTTTTACTCAGATCATTTACAGTGGTGTGTAGTAATATGAATCTATTTTCGGTGTGTATGATGAAATTTGTATGGCCTTGAAAAATATTGCGTCATCCGTGATTTTTATCACGCCCAGACACAATTGTCTCGACTGTCGATTAGTTGTCCTACGGCCATTGTCTGCAAGGGACGTTACTCCAAGGAAGCGTACGAAAATTGTAATGCTGCACGAACATGCTGGCAAGCCTTACCAGTGAGCAAATCATGGAATGGCCTTGAAACTCTCCTGATTTAAACACAATCGAGAATCTGTGATCAGTCTGCAAGTAACGACTTCGTGGAATGGACATACGAAGTACTGACATGTGTACTGGGTCATGTTTCATTGGAAAATACGAAAAAAAAAAAGTAAATAATAACGGAATTATTGGTTTTGTTTCAATTAATTTACACAAGGGGGTATAAGTCATTTTTGGTTAAATTCAACTAGCAATGCATGTCTGTTTAACTTTTTATTGTATTTTCCAATTTTCGAGCAAGATTTTGTACATCGGGTCAAAATTGTGGATGAACTTTCCGAAGATTTCGAAGTACCAGCTTTCCTCCAAAAATGCCAGGATGTTGCCAACAAAATCTTGCTTAACATACTGATTAACATCCTGTTCTTGATAATGACTGAGACAGTTAAAAAATACTTAAACAAAAACGATAAGACATCTACTTCAAACAGATTATCAACAACTTTATACTGAAAAGAAATCCATAAAAAGTTAAACAGACCTTGTCGGTTGAATTTAGCAAGACATGCTTGGATGAATTCTTGCTGCCTACACACACACAGATAGATAGATAGATAGATAGATAGATAGATAGATAGATAGATAGATAGATAGATAGATAGATAGAAATGTAAAAATTAATATATAAATACAATAGATCTTGAAAAAGACAATACGAATTAAAACAAAATAAAAGCTATTCTTTACCAACGCGTTTTGTCCTCTGATGGACTTTATCAAATGTTAGGATTTTATTTTACAACATGTATTTGTAAAAAGAAGTAAAAAAAAAATTCTTAGGTTTGCAAAATTTTTAAATTTAAGAACGTTCATAAATATTCTTCTGTCTGATTGTGAAAGACTGTAATTCTCCGAGGTTTTTATAACACTATTGGACTCTACATTGAATAATAAGAATGTATTTAGCTCTATACTGAAATGATGATCCCTCTTGCTGTTGTGACCTCCTGATCCAGTTATATATATATATATATATATATATATATATATATATATATATATATATATATATATATATACACCAGCTGTAACAGCAAAATTGTTCAAATCATGTAACAGCAAAATTGTCCAATTATACGATTATGCTTTGAACCATAATAGCTTAGAAATGATTAAATATATCTTAATAGAATTCTCCGAGGTTTTTATAACATTATTGGACTCTACTTTGAGTAATAAGAATATATAATTGCTCTCTAAGCTTAACAAAAGAATCGTGATGAAATCGATCATAAACGAAAATGACATGTCCATCATTAATTAATCATAGCTAAGGCTCGGAAACTCATGAAGGATTGAAATAAAGTTCAAATATATGTATATATATTATTCCAGGATCATTTTCAACTTATTCAAGATGATTTTCGCCCTCTTTAACCTTCTAACTTTCTGTCCTAAAGTAACACGGTGTCTCACACATTTCACGTACGATTTCATTTTTGTGTAAACTATGGAAGGTCCTAAATTAATGCCTAATAAACGAAATTGAGTAAATTAGTTGTTATGAATAATCAAGAGTAGTCTCCCCTTGTTTTTGTCACTCTCCTCTTTGAGAGAGCTATTTCTGTTCACTGCGACTATAAAAGGACACTATACGAGAACATATTCTCAGTTTGAATAAAGTTTTCTGTGTACATTTGTCATTACATTAGTATTTAGTAGTTATTGCTGGTGTTGAGTTTTTTCTTGATATTTGTTTATATGTTTTCATTTATTTACTTTTTTATTTATTAATGTAATTACTATATATTATTTTATTTTAAAACGTACTTAATTTGGTGCTGAATATTAACCACATATAAGGTATTTATTATTTTTGTGAGGACATGGATCGGTGCTTGAAATATCTTTCTTACACTCCAGGATGCAGGTTAGGGTTAGGTTTGTATGGGAGACAGGCAGTTACTCCTGAAGTAAGTCTTCCCTCTCCTCGCCAATGGTCCTGTCCAAAGGAAAAGCGGGGATTGATGCAGCTTGGCACCAGTATCGTACTGAAGTTGCCAGAAAAGTCTGAAGACACTATCGAACTTCCTTAGGGACTCTTGCTTCGGAATTGTCTTCGGTGTTTATTCTCGAAGCATTTTTTTCTTTCACATGAGTGGGCGTGGTTGCAAGTGAACGGAAGTTTGAAATCCGTTCTCCTTCTTTTACATCGCAGGCTGAATATGTTCCATCCTCCAAGAATTGTTTTTGATTTCAGAGTAATTCTTTTGTTAGACTAGTTGCCAACAAAAGGCAACGTAAAGAAACATGTCCACGTTGCTTAAACAAACCAACATCAATGAAATTTAACACAGTTTAGAAACGAACACGCTAAATGTATTTATAATAATAATAATAATAATAATAATAATAATAATAATAATAATGACACGATAAACTGACACATGAAGACGAAATTCTTGAAAAAATAACTAGAATAATATGCACTGACATGTTATGATGCGACATATCAAGACGCAACAATCAGGAAACATAAAAAAGCAGGCTTCATATTTATAAGCACAGCACTATCAATATCTATATCTATAAAATAGAAGATGCGTGTGCCTGTGTGTGTGTCTGTCTGTCTGTGTGCGTGTGTATGCTATTTATGCACATCCACATTTCTCGGCCGATTACAAAATTCATACAAAACATTCTCACTTGAAATGTTTGAACTCTAGGGTTCGCGACTTGCACGTTCCAAAATTATATAACCGTTAATAAATAACACATTCATAAAAAAAAACATCTTTCCGTCTACAATACATTTATTTCGTCTTGGAGTTTTATTTCTAATGAAAAAAAATACAGCCTGACGATGAGAACATGAAGTTTTCGAAAGTACTTGCTGCTCTAAAAATAAAACCAGATCCATCAGACAAGAATTTTATTCATAAGGACCGCGTCATTCAGTGGATTGTTAATGCTTATATTAAGTGTTTTAGCGAAGAGAATTCGTGATTAATTACATTAATATTACTATTTGATTCACTGTATGATTACCTCTTTATATATATATATATATGTTGTGGATTCCGGGTTGAAATCCGGTACCAATAAATAACAAACGCAGGAATGAATATATAAAGATAATGTATTAACGTAATAATACAAACTGGTAAAGCAGGTTAGTAGTTCCAGGAATACGGATTAGTAGCAAAATATATATACAGTCTTTGGTATTGAAGTATCGCTGTATAACTTCTTACTGAGTCTACGTGCTCGCTCACTGTGACTCCTACAACGCTGTTACCTCACTCTTCCGGTTACCTACAACCTTTTACTCTGTCACTCTGGACTCGACTCGGTCTTGCTCTCTCGGGTCTTCACGTAGCCGTAGTATATGTATATACTGGGTGAGTCCATTTGTGTAAAAAGGGGAGAACCCCTCAACACCTCCCTCCTTAGATCCCTTTTGGGGGGGGTTAATATCTTTCCCTTTTTATGATCGATAATCAGAGGATCTGTAAATTTTCTTTTCCTGTTAGTCCTTCTAATTTCTGTGTCTTCCTGTGGTCTTTGAATCTCAAAAGCTTCAAAGATCGCCTCCATCAAATCATCATTTTCAGCGGGTGACGAGCTTGGCTCTTCAACCCGTCTTTTTTGTATTTGGTCAATATGTCTTCTGTGGGTAAACTTTTCTCCTTGTATTGTGTATATCACGTTTCCTAGTCTGTTATTTTTTTCAAAGCTCTCTTTACTTCTTTGTCGACTTTCCCTATGGTAGCAAACGGTACATTTCTCTTCTTTTTAAATACTGGTTGGACGTTTGCTTTTAATTCAATTCTAGCTGCACCCTTACAAAACGAACTAATAGGTAAATCCCATACGTCGATCTTTTGCATCCAGTCCGTTCCCACCAGATTTTCTTTATCTTTCATTACGAATATTTACAGTTTTCTTGTTTTCCCGTGCAATTTTACATTTAGGATTACTTCTCCTTCGAATTTTATACGCTTTCCTGTAACAGACGTAGCAATTTTTTGTGTATGTAACATGGTTGGTCTATTAAGCTTTCTCCATGTCTGCAGGTTAATTATCGTTATATCGGAACCTGAGTCAAGTTGCAATTTTATCTTTTTATTTAAGATTTCAAGTTCCACATATTTCCTTATGCTAGTATTGTTTCCGTCATGCATTCTAGTAGCTCTTATCCTACTAGTAAATTTTCTGTTCCTACATTGGGATGCCTTGTGACCCACTTTTCCACGCGCAACACAGTTTTTATATTTAAAACGACAATCCTTATTCCAGTGTAGTCCTCCACGTCGATAACATGCAAATGGAGGGGTGCTTATATTTTCTTTGATTTTCGTCATTATTTGCCCTGTACGTTGTACTTTTTTCATTATTATAGAATTTTTGTTTTCTTTTCGGGGAGGGTGAAAAACGTAAACTTTTAACTTACGTATATATGATACTCCTGCCTTCTCAATATCCTTCGAGTCTTTCTTTATGCTCAGACATTTTTGGCAGTCTTCCGATAGTTTTTGTAGTGTTAATCCAGGTTCATTTTGTAGTTTTGACAGCATTCTTTTGCGCATTTCACTATTTTTTTGCTGAGACTAACCCTTGTACAAAAATAAGAGACTTGAAATTGTCTGGGGTTAATTCTGCCAACTTGAAATCTTCGCAATGTTTATTCACGATTGCGGCGAACGTAGAATAGTCTTCATTTTCATCCTTTACGAGGTTAAGACATTTCCACCTTTTGTGAAAAGTGACGTTTTCGGGCTGAAAAGCTCCATCAGGCATGTAACTGCTTCATCAAACGTTAAATCATTTGTCTTCTTTGGCAAAATGTAATCCACAAATTTTGTGTATTTTTCCGTTTCTAATTTTCTGAGTAATAGTCGTAGGTTTTTTGATTCTGTCCAGTTTTAACAATCGATGTTGAAGATGTCTTCATGGCGTCTGAAAAATTCCCCGAAATTTTTATCCTTTTCTATCGTGTTCCATACTGCGTCTTGAGAAAAAGTCGCCTCTTTTTCAATATTTGTTGTTGTGTATTACTCGCTACTTTTACAATTAGCTCCTGGAGTTGTAATTGCCTTTCTTCATTTTGCATTTATTTTTCCTGATTTTCCTTCTGCGTTTGTAGGAATATTTTTCCATTCTTTCTTGGAATTGTAATTTCTGTTCATTTTGGTATTTTACAAGTTCTACTAAAGTACTTTTAAAATCCTCCATGATAAGAGTTTTACGAAAAAAACTCGATTTTCCGTATTTTAATCCTCGTAACACTTTGTTACCCAGTTGTTGTGGATACTGGCAAAAACGGCAATTTTCTCTTTTGAGTCTCCGAGAAGTATAAATTCTTGTCGTCCAAGCTGTTGTGGTGAGAAGAGAGATTTTTTTTCTTTCCGTATAGGTCCCAATTTCTCGAGACCGGGTCGTTGTGGTCGGCAAGGGATAATTTTTCTTTTTACTCTTCCTGTGTGAGTTCGAATTTCCTCGTCGCCAAAGTTGTTGTGGTCGACGAGAGAGATTTTTTTTTTTCTTTCGTGTGAGTTCGAAATCCTCGTCGCCAAGTTGTTGTGGTCGACGAAAGAGAAAAAAATTTTTTTTTCTTCCGTGTGAGTTCGAAATCCTCGTCGCCAAATTGACGGGGGAGAATTTTGTCTTTTTTGTTCTTCCCGTGTGAGTTCGATATCCTCGTCGCCAAGTTGTTGTGGATTCTGGATTGAAATCCGGTACCAATAAATAACAAACGTAGGAATGAATATATGAAGATAATGTATTAACGTAATAATACAAACTGGTAAAGCAGGTTAGTAGTTCCAGGAATACGGGTTAGTAGCAAAATATATATACAGTTTTTGGTATTGAAGTATCGCTGTATGACTTCTTACTGAGTCTACGTGCTCGCTCACTGTGACTCCTACAACGCTGTTACCTCACCCTCACTCTTCCGGTTACCTACAACCTTTTACTCTGTCACTCTGGACTCGATTCGACTCGACTCGACGGCCTTGCTCTCTCGGGTCTTCACGTAGCCGTAGTATATGTATATACTGGGTGAGTCCATTTGTGTAAAAAGGGGAGAACCCCTCAACAATATATATATAAGTAATGAAAATATTGGTAATCCGTATGGATAATCCCAAGGAGGATGAAATCCAGAGGGCTCAATGTTAAATCAGAGCTATTAAGACGACTTTAAGGGTTCATTGCTTATAATTTATTTCCCCAGGGAAATAGTAAGAATAAAAACTAAAGCTTAAAATATGCTAAAATCTTAAAATATAAAATAAACTGATGGCTCAATGACAAAATCAACTGAGCCTAAATATAATATTATCATCATTTGAGTAATTCCAAATCCGCTACTGACAGTTTCATGTGATAACAATCATCAGGCGGGAAGAAAAAACTTCTGATGTTGTGTTATCACATGAAACTCTGAATTGCAGGTTTGGGTAGTATTGAATATATAATATTATTATATTACACACACACACACACACACACACACACACACACACACACACAGATAGATAGATAGATAGATAGATAGATAAACCTTATATTTAGTGGACAGGTGTGTTATGAGTAGACTTCTATGTTTTATCGGTTAAGCGCGCCTAATCTAAACGTAGTAAAGGAATGCCGTTTCGGTCGATTCGTAAGGTGAATTTTCCTTAATAAGACTTTCGATTTGCCCAGACTAGTTGATCTCAATATTATTTTTTCTTGTTTAAGAAAGTAATATCTACTCAAACACGTCTATCCAGTAGAGTAAGAATAGAATTCTGTGGTAAACTAGAGTCTAAATTGAAATCCCTAAATCTTGGCCAAAACAACATATATTAATCAAATAATGCAATCGTATCTTCTTTAGCTGAAGTACGTGTGACCATTCCACGAATAGCTGGACGGGGAAAAATATTCCCGTGGGATGACAATCCTGATTTGAAAAGATTGATAAAAAAGAGAGTAAAAAGAGGAAGAAAATGGAAGGAAAAATACTAAACAATTAAAAAAATAAATCTAGTTAATACCCTGAGAAACCAATATATCCGGAAAACAAAAACTGGAAACAAAATTAACGAGGTCAAGCAGCAAAACTGTGTTAAAATGTGGGAAAAGTGAAAAATCACAACAATATCATGTAAGCGAAACTAACACAGTATAAAAATGACCTGGTCTTAAAAAACATTTTGAATAACATTTCAATTCTGACCTCACTATGCTGAAGATGACCGCGGAGCGAAGAACATAGACTCAATCACTGCAAAGTCTGTCTCCAAACGTAAACAATAAGGAACTTAGTGATGAAGAAGTCAAGAAAGATATATAAAAGCTAAAGAATAAAAAAGCGTCACTTTAAATTGAGGTTGAACTTTTGAAAATAGCATGTCTTCTCCCGAATTTAAAACAAGTTTCTCAATTTCATGAAGTCTGGAATCAGAAATGCATACGGAAAAAGTGGGTTCTATCGCGCATAAATGCACAATGGAAACAAAAATGTAGCCCTCAAGATACACACATG